AAAATATACACACATATGTAGATGGATGTATACCATTCATATTTAATCAGTGACCCTAGCCAGGGGTTTCCAGTACAAGTTATATTATTCCACACTCAAATTTTTTGAAGAAATATGTTTTCTAAAATCAAGTTTTCTTTTTTGTAATTTTGAAGTCCTTTTATATGAAGTTTTACATCTTGCATCTTTGATCTGTAAATGAAGTACTTTGTCAGAAAAATAACTTTACTTTTGATAAAATTCAATTTATGATTTTCATAGAGGCCGAAAATGACAAGATCACGTATGTAATAATTGAAGCCATTTAGAAATATAAATAATCATCACATAGTCGGGAAAGGAGTAGGTCCGGTAAGGGCCGATTTTGGCCTCAAAATTCAGGTTCATCTGATGAAAGATTTTGAACAATTTTTAAACACTTAAGTGTCTACTTCAGTTGATTTTATTAGTTTATGTGAAAGATTTGAACTGATTTAGTCATTAAAGACGCTCAAATTCAAGCTTAAATATGAAAAATCTATCAAATATGCCATAATATGTCACAATTCAGATGGTTTTTGTCAAAAATGAAAGTGGCCGCATCCGTGTTCATTCTCAACCTTTATATATGTTATGTATTATCATCAAATACAACTTACATTTAAATATTAAGAACACAAATGCGGCCACTTCCATTTCAGACGGAAACCGTCCAAAAGGTTAACCAAAATGCTAAAATTTCGAAGATTTCAGTAATTTAGCATGACTTAATGATGCTAGTACAATGTACCCGATACATGTTCATTGTATTGTCAAAAACAGCCCATATTTATGTAACAGAAGTATTATTCTTTCCAATAAATAGCTAAAAATTTACATTTTAACAATTTTGTAAAACTGCTATATTTTGGGGCCAAAAAGGGGTCTTACTGGGCCTACTCCCTATAGTGGATTTTTGATATGTACTATATAAAAAATCCAAGAACTTAGATTGTGCCAAACGTCAGCTACAATATGACAACCCGAAATTAAATGTTCTATATCTTCTGACTCTAGACATACATTACAGTTTACAAGGTTACATACATTACAGTTTACAAGGTTACATACATTACAGTTTACAAGGTTACATACATTACAGTTTACAAGGTTACATACATTACAGTTTACAAGGTTACATACATTACAGTTTACAAGGTTACATACATAACAGTTTACAAGGTTACATACATTACAGTTTACAAGGTTACATACATTACAGTTTACAAGGTTACATACATAACAGTTTACAAGGTTACATACATGTACATTACAGTTTACAAGGTTACATACATTACAGTTTACAAGGTTACATACATTACAGTTTACAAGGTTCATTTTAAAGAGTAGAGAGTTTGTACCCGAAATATAATGAATAGTCTTTATTGAAACCAACATAGCTTAGTGTTTTTTTAAACCTTGGTAGCACCCAAGTGTATTTTTTATTCCAATTTCCTACAACCTTATTTAGAATACCTTCTCATTTTTTTCTGCTGCAAAATCTATAAGTATTGTGTCTTGGTTTAAAAAATATGCATGTCCTTTGCACCCTTTTCTGACTTGAAGAAAATATAAATATTAAAAGGCATAATTTATTATTAAAGCTAGTTGTTTTTTCTCTCTTTCAGTGTTTCGATGGTTTGCAACCACTTTTTAAATGCTAGTATACACCCATAAAACTGCAAGAACGTGGGTTTGAAATTATTCATTCTTTCAAAATTTGAATAAATAAATGTATTTCCATGTTCATGTAACAGATCATTTAATTACAGGCCATACCCATGGTGTAATTCTTTTTAGTAAACGCTGACACTATCAATTTTAATGTGCTCATTATTCCATATAGATGCCGAAATTACTTCGACAAAAAGATAAGGACTGCTGTGTTTTGACATATTTTAAAGGTCCCAAAATAAGCCAACTCTGTAAATGCATATTTTGTGTAGATATGGATAATTGTATCCACTAAGATTTAGACTTAAATAATCTTCTAACCCAAGTAAGTTTTAATCCTTGTATAAAGTTCCCAAATTAATAATTTTAGGCCTCCTCTGTAATATTCTTGACATAGAGGATCCCGCTTTATCTTGTCCGGCTTATCATCCCAAATGAATGAATAGATTTTACTATTAAGTTGACGTATCATTTTATCTCTGGACCTGGGATGGACAGGAACAGATCATTAAATTTTAATATAATCAGAAACTTTATAACTGTTTTTTTACCAAATGCAGTAAGTGACTATTTTGACCAATTTTGTAATATTTGTTCTATTTCTTGTATTCGAGGAGCATAATTTAGGTTAAACATTCTATCTAAAGCAACACAAAAAGTGATACCCAATAATTGGAAGGTACTGGAACCCCACTTCAGTCCCCACTTTACATAATATTTTGTGTTGACTATGCCTTTTACTACATATCCATATAACGTTTGTTTTGTCTAAGTTAATTTTGAGTCCTGATATTTCAGCATAGAATTTTAATATACGGAGGGATGCATCCAATGAGGAATGCGATCCATGTTTGTTTGTCTGTTTGTCTGTTTGTCTTTTACTTTTTTAGCCATGGTGTTGACAGTTTATTTTCGACTTATGAGTTTGAATGTCCCTTTATTATCGTTTGTCTTTCTTTTAAAAGACTTATTGTGGGTATTTTCAGAGTATATAAACAAAAATTGTCATATAAGGAAAAAGTTAACTAAAAATACATCATGACTGTAGTTCTAAGATTTATTTACAATATTGATCAAAACAAACCCAGAAAAACAATCAATATTTATTGAGTATACCATTATTATTTTACATCATTTTTTTGAAAACAGTCAATGTACAACTTTGTTTACAAAAAATATATTTGCCGCAATATGGGCTATAGTACGAATATCCGTCTATTTCTACAAATTCAGCATTAATGAATCTTGTATTAAACATTTAACTCGAATATTGGTTACATTACATGCAGACTACAAAAAAAAAGAAGAAAGAAATGAAGACTAAATGTCTCATATAGAGGTAAATTCAGTTGATAAATATACGTCACCAAGAAAGGCCTCTTTAAAGGAGAGCTTTTTGGATTACGCTGAAGACCTGTGCTCCACTGTTTGGTGGATAATGTGTGAAACGAATTTTGTTTTATAAGATACATAGATGAAAACTAAAAGAAAGAAACGCTGAATGTAATATTTTTTTTCTACAGGATTGACAGTTAATGGGGTCAATGTAGGAATTTAGTACGAATCTTCTGTGTGCAGAAACAAGGCCACGTGAATGGCCCAAAAATGCCGCATGACCTCAAGTTTTAATTGTTGCAAAAGACGCGCCTACATTTGTACTATAATTAACAATATTTGAAAGCTTCTGATATCTAAAGGTGAACCAGCCTGAGGCATACATTTAATTTAAATATAACGCTATCATATATATTGAAGATCAAGCGAGTTTCTTTTACTGAATATACCCCATAGAACCCATCGATTGGATCAATTGTGCATTGGTTGTCGTACAGTGATATATGCCTTTGGACATTATGAACACAATAATCAAGCAAAAGGTTCTTCGTGAAAAAGTTATTTGCTGGTGTACTATAAGAAGATTTCAAAACTTAATATATTTGAACAAGATTATAACAGAACTTCATTTTCAAAATCAAACGAAATATCTAGACGTTTAAGATAAGGACATTTGAGAATAAATACGTAAAGTACGAAGTTGAAATCTGAGTGTTTACACAAACGAAAAATCATTCATCTCTATTATGTTATCTAAAGGTATTTTCAAATTGTAAAAAACTTTAAGAGTAAGTTTGTGAAAATGTACAGTTGTGATGTGCACAAAGAGTTAACACCTTTTAAATGAAATATTCATATCAATGGCAAAAGCCTAAATGGTTCCCGTACCTGCTTATCCTCAAAATGAAATGTTTGTAATTCTATCTATATATATATGTGAATGTACAAGGGAAATAAATCATCATGAACGATTATAAATTTTAGTACCAATATTCACAAATAATATGTGGAGGCCAACAAAGGTTAACATTCTAGTTCCTACTTCCATTCTGTACCTTATTAGTTATATGATTAGTCTTGGGTATTGTCCGTTTAAATCTCCTGCTCCACTCGTGATTGTCTGGGAAGAAATAAGGCCATTCATCTGTAAACCTCGACGAGTACATCGTTTTTACCTGGATACTCTTCTGTAGAACTTTATAGTGTTATACTTTATGCATACAAGTAAGTCCATAACCTCGATACGACAAATATAACAAGTTTGCCTATTTTTGCACATTTGTAAATCTCAACTTTTCCCGGAGAAGGCACATTAGCCCCAAAACAATCCAAAGACAGTTTTGCATGAGGAGTTACAACATTGTGTTTTATATAATTTTCAAAATGTATCATCTAAAAATGTACAAATATAGTCCATTACAAAATATGGTCAAGGCCAAACCAGTTACTACATGTATTAGGCGGATGTTTCGTTTGCTTGTGTAAACTTACAATAGTTCCGACCAAGTTGTAGTAAAGCGACATGCACTAAAATTACCAAAAGGTAAATATAAAAAACAAGAATATAAAATAAGAATATCATTTCAATTGTAACATATTTACAATAATAGGTGAAGGAAAATGTTTGACTTTAATTTACTACTTCGCTTACATTTACCAAAATAGTTTTAGAAGAAAAGTTTAAAACCTTTGTATATTTAGTTCTGTCATTGCACAATTTAGATAAAAATGATGAAGTTAGGGATTTCAATACATACAATCATTGTGAAGTAATATTGTTCTTTACTTGGCAAAACAATCAATAATTTCTAAACACTTCGCAATCAATATGTTCAAAATACTTCAAAATAATTTTTATAGCGATTGCAGCAGAATAATGCTTCATACACTTATTCTAAAGTATTTTATCATAATAAAAAAAAAGTATAAAGTAAATACGAACGCAAAATTATCCAAAACATAATGTTGTGCTTACGATTGTATATTGTCGCGAACGATAGTCTTAGACAATTAGATTTTGATCATTGAAGCATTGTTTAGAGAACTTTCTAATGTCTTCTCGACGCTGGGTGTTCTAGATTCCCCATCTGCGTATGCTGTTGATGATTCAATCTGTTTTAGACGCCATGGTGCTACAAAGAATGTTCGGAACTGTCTGCGGAAACGTTGGTCGTAAAATGCATAAATGAATGGATTGGCCACATGATTTATAGCATAGGATCTCTCTAGTATCTTCAGTATGGAAAACTCAACTGCATTTAATTCTTCTGGTTTGATGACGTCCACTAATAGCTTCAGAACAAAGAGTGGAATATAACTCAATGCAAAAACGGCGCTTACTGTAATTGCTATTTTCGTTATTTTACCTGAAATGTCATCTTCTTTTGGAATACTTTTTGCTGCAATTGCGTTTTTCTTTATTTTGTGTTGCAAGTACATCCTACGACCAATGAATATATACATTATGAACAAAACAAATGCGTAAAAACCGAACAAAAATGTCAAAAATCCATTGTATACTTCTGCATAACTTGAATTTTTGAAAGAAACTGCACACACGTGTCCGGTTAAATTGTACGGGAGTTTAACCTCATCTATGGGTTGCAAAATAATTTGTGGAGAGTCTAAGAAAACTGCAAGTACAAATCCACCGATTATCCAGTACCTCACGTTCAAGGTGTTGATTTGTGATTTCAGCGGCATGCATACTTGTCTAAATCTGTGTATTGATAGAGTTACCAATAAATGCGAGGAATACATGATGAAGAAAATAATAACTGTTGTGAATATCTTACAAACCCACAGATTTGTAAACGTATAGTATCGAATAACTCTTCCTATATTAAATGGCATTGTTAGTGTACAAAACAGAAGGTCTGTTAACGCAAGATTCCAAATGATAGTACGGTATACTGACTTGGCATAGCGCCGTCGATATATAATGAGCACAGTCAAATTTCCAGGAATTCCGACAACCATTAGAATCGCCAGATATACAATAGGTGCTAATAGTTTTTGTATTTCTGCATGATTGATATCCTCTAATGTAACATTCATTGTTCTCTTTTAAGCTACCAACGGCTTCACCAATATTGAGTCTATGTGAAGAAACAGCGACCGACACTGCCTTTATATAGCTGTCAAAATAATTCTGAAGTTATCAAAATTTAATAAACGCATATTATGAAATAACACGATCCGATGAATTATGAATAGACACCAGAAGCGGAAATTTCAAGTACAAGTGTCCGGAAACTTGACACTATTTACAATGTTTGTCATACAGGAATTGAACTTTTGTTTGACCTTCCTCATTCAGCGAATCAACAAATTAATGACGAAGTTGATCGTGGTGCTTATGACGACAAACCTGTATGGCTGTTAATGAGAAAATCAGTTTACATTTTAAAAGTAGTTTTACGATATCTTAATTACAGACTTATTTGACTGTGTCTTCTTGTTTTAATTTATTTTGCGTTGACAAACTTTCCAAACTTGTAAGCAAAACGACCCAATATACACACACATACAAAAAAGTAGAAAAACTATACCCTTTAATCTAAACATGCTATACAGTTTAGTGTCATTATAAAAAGAACACGACGGGTGCCACATGTGGAGCAGGATCTGCTTACCCTTCCGGAGCACCTGAGATCACCCCCAGTTTTTGGTGGGGTTCGTGTTGCTTAGTCTTTAGTTTTCTATGTTGTGTCATCTGTACTATTATTTGTCTGCTTGTCTTTTTTTTTTGCCATGGCGTTGTCAGTTTGTTTTCGATCTATGAGTTTGACTGTCCCTCTGGTATCTTTCGTCCCTCTTTTAAAATCGTTTTGTTCACTGTATTTATCCAAATTAAACTGCAGTTTATTATTATTTGACTAACGACTGCGGATTATCAAAAGATATTCTGAAATAGATATTGTTATCTGCTTTATCTCATACCTTCAAAAACCTACTTGCAAGAGAACATGGAGAACGCAAAACAACTCGTAACTTTGGACTCTAAGTAAACACAGTTATCACGACTAATTTGAAATTATTGTAAATATTATGTTGGTTCTTTCAACACAGTAAATTATTTTTAGGGAATTCCCTTCCTTCTCAGTAAGAATTCAGGATGCTCATACTGTTAATTGAAATCAACACTTTTGCATTTAACTTTTCCCTTAATATAATATTTATTGAATTTAGTAAAGAAAGTTTTGAAACATAAGTTCCTTAGTTTGTACATTATTTTAAAACAAGAGGAAGATGGGGTTGCTCTTCATAATTAACACAAAGTCAACTAGAGGGAAATAGTTAGGTCACTCAAAGGTGAAAGCTAAATGATAAATGTTGAGACTTAAAGTTGGTTTAATGAATCACAGAAACTAATTGACAAGTATTACATGCATATAACTTTATTTAAAATACAATATTTCTTATCCTTATATATCCCAATACAATGTAAAGGAAAATCCTTGTGTTACTGAATAAACAGATTTGTGGTAGAGTAAGTGAAGGTCTCTTATCATATATATATATAATATATATATTACAAGCGCAAGTCTAAAAGGGTACAACATCACCAAAATAAATAAAATCATGAACAAATGTTAAATATTTCGGATAACTAATATCCTTCATCAGTAAGATGTCAAATAGTTCTTATCTTGACATGTGGTAGTCACACTGTAATATCAATCTTGATCGTTATACAAATTATCACTAAACAATACGCTGGTAAATTTTTTTAATATTGATGTTTGGGAGGAGGAATAAATTCCTTAAAACTGTAAGAGTCCTATACTGAAGCCGGAGTTACTGGAAACAAGTGATGGTAGAGACTCATTCTTTGTTTTTTCATTAATGCCCTCTGGGGAAACTGTCCTTAACTTCCTTATCCAAACAACTTTCCCGAGGAAGTCTGTCGGCCCTTGACCAACCCTCGTTGTGGTCTATGATAGTGATGGTAAGGTTTTTGAGATCATCTTGGGTGTGCCCAGGCGGGATTGTATGTTAAAACAAACGGAACTATTTCGCTTCGCCTTTTCTGTTGGTACTCTAATAGGTCATTGCGACTGTTATTGTTAGCCCCCAAAGCTGTCACCCAAAAACTGTACAAAAAGTATCCCGTACAGTCAAGCTCTCAGAGTAAAGCGGATTTGCTCCTCTGAGGAGGCTGTCACTAAACGGTTACAGGAACTTCGCGGATTTTTGACCAAACGAGGTTATAAGAAATGGGACAAAGATAAGGGGTTTGCGCGTGCTAACAATAACAGCCGCAATGACCTATTAGAGTACAAACAGAAAAGGCGAAGCGAAATAGTTCCGATTGTTTTAACATACAATCCCGCCTTTACTAATCTCTCCCGTTTGATCCGTACCAATTGGCAGATTATTGCCAAACATCCAAATTATCCAAGATCTTTCCCAAACCTCCTGTCTTAGCTTTTCGGAGACCAGCAAGTCTGAAAGACTTATTTGTGAGAGCTGATGTCTTCTCTAATAAAAGCTCTTTTAAAAGGTTATAGCTTACAAGGTTACATACATAACCGTTTACAAGGTTACATACATTACAGTTTACAAGGTTACATACATTACAGTTTACAAGGTTACATACATTACAGTTTACAAGGTTACATACATTACAGTTTACAAGGTTCATACATTACAGTTTACAAGGTTACATACATTACAGTTTACAAGGTTACATACATTACAGTTTACAAGGTTACATACATTACAGTTTACAAGGTTACATACATTACAGTTTACAAGGTTACATACATTACAGTTTACAAGGTTACATACATTACAGTTTACAAGGTTACATACATTACAGTTTACAAGGTTATATACATTACAGTTTACAAGGTTCATACATTACAGTTTACAAGGTTACATACATTACAGTTTACAAGGTTACATACATTACAGTTTACAAGGTTACATACATTACAGTTTACAAGGTTACATACATTACAGTTTACAAGGTTCATTTTAAAGAGTAGAGCGTTTGTACCCGAAATATAATGAATAGTCTTTATTGAAACCAACATAGCTTAGTGTTTTTTGAAACCTTGGTAGCACCCAAGTGTATTTTTTATTCCAATTTCCTACAACCTTATTTAGAATACCTTCCCATTTTTTTCTGCTGCAAAATCTATAGGTATCGTATCTTGGTTTAAAAAAATATACATGTCCTTTGCACCCTTTTCTGACTTGAAGAAAATATAAATATTAAAAGGCATAATTTATTATTAAAGCTTGTTGTTTTTTCTCTCTTTCAGTGTTTCGATGGTTTGCAACCACTTTTTAAATGCTAGTATACACCCATAAAACTGCAAGAACGTGGGTTTGAAATTATACATTCTTTCAAAATTTTAATAAATAAATGTATTTCCATGTTCATGTAACAGATCATTTAATTACAGGCCATATCCATGGTGTAATTGTTTTAGTAAACGCTGACATTATCAATTTTAATGTGCTCATTATTCCATATAGATGCCGAAATGACTTCACCAAAAAAATAAGGACTGCTGTGTTTTGACATATTTTAAAGGTCCCAAAATAAGCCAACTCTGTAAAATGCATATTTTGTGTAGATATGAATAATTGTATCCACTTAGATTTAGACTTAAATAATCTTCTAACCCAAGTAAGTTTTAACCCTTGTATAAAGTTCCCAAATTAATAATTTTAGGCCTCCTCTGTAATATTCTTGACATAGAGGATCCCGCTTTATCTTGTCCGGCTTATCATCCCAAATGAATGAATAGATTTTACTATTACGTTGACGTATCATTTTATCTCTGGACCTGGGATGGACAGGAACAGATCATTAAATTTTAATATAATTAGAGACTTTATAACTGTTTTTTTTTACCAAATACAGTAAGTGACTATTTTGACCAATTTTGTAATATTTGTTCTATTTCTTGTACTCGAGGAGCATAATTTAGGTTAAACATTCTCTCTAAATCAACACAAAAAGTGATACCCAATAATTAGAAGGTACTGGAACCCCACTTCAGTCCCCACTTTACATGATTTTTTGTGTTGACTATGCCTTTTACTACATATCCATATAACGTTTGGTTTGGCTAAGTTAATTTTGATATCTCAGCATAGAATTTTAATATACGGAGGGATGCATCCAATGAGGAATGCGATCCATCTAAAATAAGTGATGTGTCGTCTGCATATTGAGACATGATAAACTGTGAATCTTTTATAATAATACCCTTTATCTAAACACCATTTCTTACAACAATGCTTAGTATTTCTACACATAGCAAGAAAGGACAGACAACAGTTCTGGTTGACAGTTGATGATTCGAAACATCATTATAAAATGTTCCAATTCATAATGGAATCTCCAAAATTAAAATATTTAAGTGTTTCAAAGAGAAATGCCCATGCTATGACATGATATATTCTAATTTAATTGTTGCTTTAATTATTAAAATAGAAAAGTTCGTCATACCCAGTAATATTTTCATTTTTTGCAAATTTTTCTTTTTCAGTTATGTTTTGGACAAAGAAACCGCCAAGGTGTTGGTTAACAGTAATTTCTGTAGAATGCATATTATTAATAGTATTGAACTATTCCTTTTAATTTCAAAATACGCAGATTTAGTAAAATGAAACATTAATGTTGTGTTTTTGTGTATGTAAAACATTTCAAATTCAGTCTTTTGTTTTTTATGTTCTGATTTGTGTACTGTTGTTTGTCTGTTTGTCTTTTACTTTTTTAGCCATGGTGTTGACAGTTTATTTTCGACTTATGAGTTTGAATGTCCCTTTATTATCGTTTGTCTTTCTTTTAAAAGACTTATTGTGGGTATTTTCAGAGTATATAAACAAAAATTGTCATATAAGGAAAAAGTTAACTAAAAATACATCATGGCTGTAGTTCCAAGATTCATTTGCAATATTGATCAAAACAAACCCAGAAAAACAATCAATATGTATTGAGTATACCATTATTATTTTACATCATTTTTTTGAAAATAGTCAATGTACAACTTTGTTTACAAAATATATATTTGCCGCAATATGGGCTATAGTACGAATATCCGTCTATTTTTACAAATTCAGCATTAATGAATCTTGTATTAAACATTTAACTCGAATATTGGTTACATTACATGCAGAATACAAAAAAAAAGAAGAAAGAAATGAAGACAAAATGTCGCATATAGAGGTAAATTCAGTTGATAAATATACGTCACCAAGAAAGGCCTCTTTAAAGGAGAGCTTTTTTGATTACGCTGAAGACCTGTGCCCCACTGTTTGGTGGATAATGTGTAAAACGAATTTTGTTTTATAAGATACATAGACGAAAACTAAAAGAAAGAAACGCTAAATGCAATATTTTTTTTCTACAGGATTGACAGTTAATGGGGTCAATGTAGGAATTTAGTACAAATCTTCTGTGTGCAGAAACAAGGCCACGTGAATGGCCAAAAAATGCCGCATGACCTCAAGTTTTAATTGTTGCAAAAGACGCGCCTACATTTGTACTATAATTAACAATATTTGAAAGCTTCTGATATCTAAAGGTGAACCAGCCTGAGGTATACATTTAATTTAAATATAACGCTTTCATATTGAAGATCAAGCGAGTTTCTTTTACTGAATATACCCCATAGAACCCATCGATTGGATCAATTGTGCATTGGTTGTCGTCCAGTGATATATGCCTTTGGACATTATGAACACAATAATCAAGCAAAAGGTTCTTCGTGAAAAAGATATTTGCTGGTGTACTATAAGAAGATTTCAAAACTTAATATATTTGAACAAGATTATAACAGAACTTCATTTTCAAAATCAAACGAAATATCTAGACGTTTAAGATAAGGACATTTGAGAATAAATACGTAAAGTACGAAGTTGAAATCTGAGTGTTTACACAAACGAAAAATCATTCATCTCTATTATGTTATCTAAAGGTATTTTCAAATTGTAAAAAACTTTAAGAGTAAGTTTGTGAAAATGTACAGTTGTGATGTGCACAAAGAGTTAACACCTTTTAAATGAGATATTCATATCATTGGCAAAAGCCTAAATGGTTTCCGTACCTGCTTATCCTCAAAATGAAATGTTTGTAATTCTATCTATATATATATGTGAATGTACAAGGGAAATAAATCATCATGAACGATTATAAATTTTAGTACCAATATTCACAAATAATATGTGGAGGCCAACAAAGGTTAACATTCTAGTTCCGACTTCCATTCTGTACCTTATTAGTTATATGACTAGTCGTGGGTATTGTCCGTTTAAATCTCCTGCTCCACTCGTGATTGTCTGGGAAGAAATAAGGCCATTCATCTGTAAACCTCGACGAGTACATCGTTTTTACCTGGATACTCTTCTGTAGAACTTTATAGTGTTATACTTTATGCATACAAGTAAGTTCATAACCTCGATACGACAAATATAACAAGTTTGCCTATTTTTGCACATTTGTAAATCTCAACTTTTCCCGGAGAAGGCACATTAGCCCCAAAACAATCCAAAGACAGTTTTGCATGAGGAGTTACAACCTTGTGTCTTATATAATTTTCAAAATGTATCATCTAAAAATGTACAAATAGTCCATTACAAAATATGGTCAAGGCCAAACCAGTTACTACATGTATTAGGCGGATGTTTCGTTTGCTTGTGTAAACTTACAATAGTTCCGACCAAGTTGTAGTAAAGCGACATGCACTAAAATTACCAAAAAGTAAATATAAAAAACAAGAATATGAAGTAAGAATATCATTTCAATTGTAACATATTTACAATAATAGGTGAAGGAAAATGTTTGACTTTAATTTACTACTTCGCTTACATTTACCAAAATAGTTTTAGAAGAAAAGTTTAAAACCTTTGTATATTTAGTTCTGTCATTGCACAATTTAGATAAAAATGATGAAGTTAGGGATTTCAATACATACAATCATTGTGAAGTAATATTGTTCTTTACTTGGCAAAACAATCAATAATTTCTAAACACTTCGCAATCAATATGTTCAAAATACTTCAAAATAATTTTTATAGCGATTGCAGCAGAATAATGCTTCATACACTTATTCTAAAGTATTTTATCATAATAAAAAAAAAGTATAAAGTAAATACGAACGCAAAATTATCCAAAACATAATGTTGTGCTTACGATTGTATATTGTCGCGAACGATAGTCTTAGACAATTAGATTTTGATCATTGAAGCATTGTTTAGAGAACTTTCTAATGTCTTCTCGACGCTGGGTGTTCTAGATTCCCCATCTGCGTATGCTGTTGATGATTCAATCTGTTTTAGACGCCATGGTGCTACAAAGAATGTTCGGAACTGTCTGCGGAAACGTTGGTCGTAAAATGCATAAATGAATGGATTGGCCACATGATTTATAGCATAGGATCTCTCTAGTATCTTCAGTATGGAAAACTCAACTGCATTTAATTCTTCTGGTTTGATGACGTCCACTAATAGCTTCAGAACAAAGAGTGGAATATAACTCAATGCAAAAACGGCGCTTACTGTAATTGCTATTTTCGTTATTTTACCTGAAATGTCATCTTCTTTTGGAATACTTTTTGCTGCAATTGCGTTTTTCTTTATTTTGTGTTGCAAGTACATCCTACGACCAATGAATATATACATTATGAACAAAACAAATGCGTAAAAACCGAACAAAAATGTCAAAAATCCATTGTATACTTCTGCATAACTTGAATTTTTGAAAGAAACTGCACACACGTGTCCGGTTAAATTGTACGGGAGTTTAACCTCATCTATGGGTTGCAAAATAATTTGTGGAGAGTCTAAGAAAATTGCAAGTACAAATCCACCTATTATCCAGTACCTCACGTTCAAAGTGTTGATTTGTGATTTCAGCGGCATGCAGACTTGTCTAAATCTGTGTATTGATAGAGTTACCAATAAATGCGAGGAATACATGATGAAGAAAATAATAACTGTTGTGAATATCTTACAAACCCACAGATTTGTAAACGTATAGTATCGAATAACTCTTCCTATATTAAATGGCATTGTTAGTGTACAAAACAGAAGGTCTGTTAACGCAAGATTCCAAATGATAGTACGGTATACTGACTTGGCATAGCGCCGTCGATATATAATGAGCACAGTCAAATTTCCAGGAATTCCGACAACCATTAGAATCGCCAGATATACAATAGGTGCTAATAGTTTTTGTATTTCTGCATGATTGATATCCTCTAATGTAACATTCATTGTTCTCTTTTAAGCTACCAACGGCTTCACCAATATTGAGTCTATGTGAAGAAACAGCGACCGACACTGCCTTTATATAGCTGTCAAAAATAATTCTGAAGTTATCAAAATTTGATAAACGCATATTATGAAATAACACGATCCGATGAATTATGTATAGACACCAGAAGCGGAAATTTCAAGTACAAGTGTCCGGAAACTTGACACTATTTACAATGTTTGTCTTACAGGAATTGAACTTTTGTTTGACCTTCCTCATTCAGCGAATCAACAAATTAATGACGAAGTTGATCGTGGTGCTTATGACGACAAACCTGTATGGCTGTTAATGAGAAAATCAGTTTACATTTTAAAAGCAGTTTTACGATATCTTAATTACAGGCTTATTTGGCTGTGTCTTCTTGTTTTAAATTATTGTGCGTTGACAAATTTTCCAAACTTGTAAGCAAAACGACCCAATATACACACACATACAAAAAAGTAGAAAAACTATACCCTTTAATCTAAACATGCTATACAGTTTAGTGTCATTATAAAAGCAACACGACGGGTGCCACATGTGGAGCAGGATCTGCGTACCCTTCCGGAGCACCTGAGATCACCCCCAGTTTTTGGTGGGGTTCGTGTTGCTTAGTCTTTAGTTTTCTATGTTGTGTCATCTGTACTATTATTTGCCTGTTTGTCTTTTTTTTTTGCCGTGGCGTTGTCAGTTTGTTTTCGATCTATGAGTTTGACTGTCCCTCTGGTATCTTTCGTCCCTCTTTTAAAATCTTTTTGTTCACTGAATTTATCCAAATTAAACTGCAGTCTATTATTATTTGACTAACGACTGCGGATTATCAAAAGATATTCTGAAATAGATATTGTTATCTGCTTTATCTCATACCACCAAAAACCTACTAGCAAGAGAACATGGAGAACGCAAAACAACTCGTAACTTTGGACTCTAAGTAAACACAGTTATCACGACTAAGTTGTAATTATTGTAAATATTATGTTGGTTCTTTCAACACAGTAAATTATTTTTAGGGAATTCCCTTCCTTCTCAGTAAGAATTCAGGATGCTCATACTGTTAATTGAAATCAACACTTTTGCATTTAACTTTTCCCTTAATATTATATTTATTGAATTTAGTAAAGAAAGTTTTGAAACATAAGTTCCTTAGTTTGTACATTATTTTAAAACAAGAGGAAGATGGGGTTGCTCTTCATAATTAACACAAAGTCAACTAGAGGGAAATAGTTAGGTCACTCAAAGGTGAAAGCTAAATGATAAATGTTGAGACTTAAAGTTGGTTTAATGAATCACAGAAACTAATTGACAAGTATTACATGCATATAACTTTATTTAAAATACAATATTTCTTATCCTTATATATAATATCCCAATACAATGTAAAGGAAAATCCTTGTGTTACTGAATAAACAGATTTGTGGTAGAGTAAGTGAAGGTCTCTTATCATATATATTATATATATATATATTACAAGCGCAAGTCTAAAAGGGTACAACATCACCAAAATAAATAAAATCATGAACAAATATTAAATATTTCGGATAACTAATATCCTTCATCAGTAAGATGTCAAATAGTTCTTATCTTGACATGTGGTAGTCACACTGTAATATCAATCTTGATCGTTATACAAATTATCACGAATCAATACGCTGGTAAATTTTTTTAATATTGATGTTTGGGAGGAGGAATAAATTCCTTAAAACTGTAAGAGTCCTATACTGAAGCCGGAGTTACTGGAAACAAGTGATGGTAGGGACTCATTCTTTGTTTTTTCATTAATGCCCTCTGGGGAAACTGTCCTTAACTTCCTTATCCAAAAAACTTTCCCGAGGAAGTCTGTCGGCCCTTGACCAACCCTCGTTGTGGTCTATGATAGTGATGGTAAGGTTTTTGAGATCATCTTGGCTGTTATTGTTAGCCCCCAAAGCTGTCACCCAAAAACTGTACAAAAAGTATCCCGTACAGTCAAGCTCTCAGAGTAAAGCGGATTTGCTCCTCTGAGGAGGCTGTCACTAAACGGTTACAGGAACTTTGCGGATTTTTGACCAAACAAGGTTATAAGAAATGGGACAAAGATAAGGGGTTTGCGCGTGCTAACAATAACAGCCGCAATGACCTATTAGAGTACAAACAGAAAAGGCGAAGCGAAATAGTTCCGATTGTTTTAACATACAATCCCGCCTTTACTAATCTGTCCCGTTTGATCCGTGCCAATTGGCAGATTATTGCCAAACATCCAAATTATCCAAGATCTTTCCCAAACCTCCTGTCTTAGCTTTTCGGAGACCAGCAAGTCTGAAAGACTTATTTGTGAGAGCTGATGTCTTCTCTAATAAAAGCTCTTCAACTGCAGGATGGTGCAAGTCGTATGGTAACAGACGATGTCTGACTTGCCAACAAACACTGAACACTCAAACATTGACTTGCCACTTCTCTGGATCCGAATACACTATATATTGCAATATAACTTGCAAAACCCAGAATGTTTTATACCTTCTTCGGTGTCGATGTGGCATTCAGTATGTTGGCGGGACAGAACAGCCATTCAACAAATACATGAATGGTAATCGAAGTGCCGGACTACACCTGCAAGCCCGACCTCCCCATAAGTCGTCATTTGAGATCACCTGGGCACGCCAGGATTTTTGGATAAGGAAGTTAAGGACAGTATCCCCAGAGGGCATTCATGAAAAAACATAGAATGAGTCCCTATACCTTCACTTGTTTCAAGTAAATCAGGCTTCAGTACAGGACTCTTACAGTTTTAAGGAATTCATTCCTCCTCCAAACATCAATATTAAAAAAAATTACCAGCGTATTGATTCGTGATTATTTGTATAACGATCAAAATTAATATTACAGTGTGACTACCACATGTCAAGATAAGAACCATTTGACATCTTACTGATGAAGGATATTAGTTATCCGAAATATTTAACATTTGTTCATGATTTTATTTTATTTTTTGGTGATGTTGTACCCTTTTAGACTTGTTTATTATATATTATATTTTGTATTGTACTGTATCCATTATATGATCCATCGCCACGTAAGATTTTTCGTTGGCTATTATTCAGACATTTAATATTATATATATATATATATATATATATATATATATATATATATATATATACTCCCAAATGAAACCGTCATAAAGGTATTTTCACATCAATGGCTCATACATGTTTCAGTTAAGCGTTCCTCATGAAGGTAAATCTAGAAAGCACCAAATTTATAAAACGCTTTTTTCCTGCATGTGTCGTGAAATAGAAGTTCATTCATAATTTAAGTTTAAATGGAAGAAATATTCTGTAATATCATTTCCTCTGAAACAAATATTTCAGTATTTGTTCCTTACGGAATAAAGATTTAAGAATATGTGTTAAACAGGAACAAATATTATGGCATTGTTTATAACAATTACAGTTGAACTTCTGTTAGGCGGAAGAAAATATACACATGCACTATATAATCTTAAACGTATCAAGCGCATTATTCAGTTGTTTATTATTTATAACAATATAACAATTCCTTGAATTTACTGTCAATATAACTTACGGGTTTTAGTAGGAGTTCGGAAAAATCTTTACTTTTCAGCGTTCTTTATTTGAATTCTTCTGGAGTAGGAGTTCACAAACATGCCTTATTGTTAATCATTTGGTTCGTTATATTCTATCCTCTTGATTCTCATTTTTGATTTTACAGTATGTTTAACACCCATTAGATGACTAGTGTGGGATGGTCACATAAATTCGTCAAAAGTATCAACTTATTACATTAATCACTTTCATCGCACTTCCTCTATCTCATCAGTCAGTGTTGGGCTTGATTCATTTTTAACATGTAAATGATTAACGTAATTAAACCGCTCCAATTAAATGATAACTGTTTGCTTTTGTAATTTGATATTTATTACATCTAACCTATTTTTTTTATATTACATAAACTAGTCAGACGAATTTCTTGTTTTCAAAATCAATTCGAAGTGGTGTAAGTATATTATACATACATGTAAATAACTGACATTCCCTTCTGCAAAGTTGCGCAATCGTAAAGTGTTCTTTTAGTTACTTTTGTTTTGTTTCAAGTGTTTATGTAATGCTGTACGCAGGAAATACGACACATTCATAACCAGTAATTCCTTCCACTAAATCAAAAATGTCTTAATTTGTTTATGATTATCGATTAGACAACTATCTAATTATTGACAATATACAAAACAGAATATATTGTCTTATACGATACCTACCACATGGATGCGAAGAATGCTCCTAGGAAAGAAGTGAAACTATTTTGAGGAGACAAATGATGGCCTTGTAAAAATCAATAATAAAATTACAATTAAGTAGTTGTCTGGAACCGATATTCATGTACCACTTGGTTAAACAAGAAACAAAGACCAAACTAAAAAGTTCTCATATTTAGCAGGACACTTCAAAATCCAAGTATTTACATATATATAGCTGCTACTTTTGTTGACCAGAATACCAGCCAGCTAGCAAATCCCGTATAACTTGGTTTTATCGTAAAACGTTGTGACAAAGAAAAGCTTAGGTAGAAGTCTCATCGATAATCATAAACAAATTAAGACATTTTGATTTAGTGGAAGGAATTACTGGTTATGAATGTTTTTGTTTCATCTATGATACCATTTCATGACTAATACCGACACTAAAGGCTGATACGTATGGTTTATATTGCACCGTTTAATATTTGCGTATCCTATTTGATGTCTTAGATCACGAACGAAGACATTGTATATAAAAATAAGGAGATTTAGTATGATTGCCAATGAAACAACTAGTGAACCCAAGTTCACATGAAATGGATGTAAGCAATTATAGGCAACCGTACGGCCTTCAACAATGAGAAAGCCCCATACCGTATAGTTGGCTATAAAAGGCCTTGCCATGAAAACTATGTAGCAATTCAACTGAGAAAATTAACGGCCTAATTTATAACAAGACAATTTACGAAAAACAAATATGTTTTTTTTTACCTTAAAAAAGTTTGTGGTTTGTATGCTCGGACTTTTTCATTTAAATGACCTCACAACGAAAAGACAGCTATTAAATAAATACAATGTCGGAAGATGATGAAACATGGGACAGGCACTTCAACATGGCAGGTTTAAATGAGTATGTTGTATACGACACCGTCCCTTTTGCAACAGTAAAAGAATAAAAGGTACATAGACGAACATGCATTAAGTAAAATGGAGTTTACACTCTATATTTCATAGATTTGTACAGTTGTGAATACTTCTGATATTAGAT